CTCTTCAAGTTGAGGATGAGGTGTGAAGGAGCACGTCCAGCCCAATGAGTGAAACAGTGGTGTCCTGGGGACATGGGGGGAATGCCTGGGGCTGAGCAGCAAAGGTGCCTCTAGTACTAAGATGAGGAGCTGACACGCTACCCCAAGGGTAATAGGGAGCCATGGCAGCATCTATACCAGGAAAGGGGCTTGATCTGGGTCCAGGTGGGAGAACAGGAGGTTGGAATGGTGGCCTGTGCAGCTCAGATTGGGGGGGGGGTGTCAACCTTGCTTCCTTTCTCTTCACCACCCCCAAACCCAGTTGTGACTTCCCTTGGGGTTCCCACATCTTCTAACGGCACAACTTTGCAAATCCAGGAGACTCTTTGGGGCCCCAGCCTGACCACTAGAAACTTCTCCTGCAGTTCCTTCTCCCAGCGGCCTCAGTTTCCCCATCTGTAATACTAAGAGGTCAAACATAAGGGACCCTATTTTCCCGATTGTGTATGACTTGGAGGCAGAGCAAGGACTTCATGTATGCCAGCCACTTCATGTATGCCCACCCCAAAGACACAGATACTCATGGAGCCGCAACCCACAGGACCCTTGGCTGGAGGGGTGGCTGGGTCCTCAGAGGACTCTGAGGAAACTGGCAGAAAATTTGGTCTCTGCTTCTGGCTTCCTCTTTTTCCTGTCTGATTTACCCATTCATAAAATGGACATGTTTCTATCTCATAAAGTTGTTTGGAGATTAAATGAGTCAGTAGATGTACATATTGCTCCAACAAAGGAAATTGTCTCCCCTTCAAACTCCTATTCATACTTCAAAACCCACCACAGATTTTCCACCTTCAGGGCTGCCCCATGATAGCCTTTGGCTCTTCACTGTTCTTTGCTCTAGGCTCTCCTAGCCCTTGATTCTGCCATCTGCCCCAACCCGGTCCCCATGAGTCCGGGAGTGTCTGTATTTGCCTCAATCTCCCCCTCCACCAGACTAGTGGGGTCCTCCTTGGAGTTGCAGAATTACTCAGCATGGGGAGATGGGAATGTTGAATAAATGAAAAGAAGAAGAGAAGGGGCAGGCAAGAGATGCAGTGATGGGGAGCCAGAGAAGTTGGAGAAGAGAGGGAGGGCATTCAGCAGAGACCTCCGTGGGACAGATGGAGAGAGGGAAGGGAGCCTTGGAGAGAGGGAGCTGGAAGGAGGTGGGCAGAGCCAGATGAGCGGGCAGGGGTGACAGGAGGGAGGGATGGGGTGTGAGGAGACCCCACTCCCGCACTGGAGTGCCTCCTCTGGGATTCAGTGGGCAGGGCAAAGTGGGAAGGGCCCAGCTTCTAGCTGGTGGATCACCTGGGCATGGGGCACAGGGAGTGAGGCGCTAGGCCCCAGCTCGTGTGCCACTGTGCGCGCCTTTGCACTTCGGGGCCAGCTGGGCAGGTGGGAGCACGTGGATGCCAGCCTGGTGCACATCTCCAGGCCGGTGGGTAAGGCTGGGTGCGGGGCCGCAGGGTGTGGACAGCCGGGCCTCTGGGCCTTAGCTTTCAAGTGAGGCATTGGAGAGAAGGGGGCTGCCCACCTGGCATCTGGGACCAGATCACAAGCCCCTCCCCCTGTCAAGCTGACCTAGGAGGGGGAAGGGGCCTCCCAGTAAGAGGCTAAAGGTCCCAGGCTCCACAGTGGGCAAGGGAGATGGGGAGCAGGTACGAAGGCCACGAGAATGGGGTGGGGGTTGAGGGTGCAGTGATGGGGGCAGGTTCCCTCCGTGTGGCCCCCCTCCCTCATTTCCCCACTCTGCTCATCTATCTCCAGAAGATTATATTTAAATATCTCTTTTGTGCAAGGCAGGAGCTGGGCTCGCCCCTAAGAGGCGGTTTCCATGGCAACAACAATTGCCAGCTTCCGTGTGGTGAATCAGCGTTGCCAAGGCAACCCCATCCTCATCTGCCTAAGGTGCTGGGAGGGGGGAGGAGGTGAGGGCCTGTGGAGGCGGCAGGGTGGGAGGGGTGGGGGGGAGCAGGAGGCTGGAGCTCAGGTGCCCCCTCTCCCTCCACCTCCTTTCACCACCGCAGTCTGTCCCCAGCCCAGAATTCTGGTCCCATTTGGTTGATAATCTTCTCTCCTGCCTCCTGTATCCGGGTGTGGAACCCAGGCGGAGAAGGCCTGGTGTGTGTGTGTGTGTGTGTGTGTGTGTGTGTGTGTGTGTGTGCCCGCGCGCGCGCGAGGGCGCGTGCATTGGAAGAAGGGAGACATGGTTCCGTTTTTCCCAGGTGGTCAGGGTCCCTCGGAGGGTGTGGCTGGGTGGCAGGAAGGTTGGGCTGTGGGAATTGGGGACACTGGATGGGGCAGACAGAAGTCTCTCTGGTTCTTGGGCTCCCAAGTTGGAGTTCAAAATTGAGGCGGCCCATGTGTGCCTGGGACATACACTCAGTGAAAGGGACGGTATCAGAAGTGAGAGGCTCTGAGAGGGGAGGGGGAGCAGAGAGAGGGGAAGGACTCAGAATGGGGAGGGGCTCAGGGAGGGCAAGGAAGCTAGAGAGGGGAAGGAGAGTCCACTGGGGGAGCGGGCTTAGGAGAAGGGTATGCAGAGTAAGGGGAAGGGACTCAGAGAGGGGGCTCAGAGCTGGGACAGGGTCTGAGAGAAGGGGAGGAGTTCAGAGGGGAGGAGACTTGAGGGTTTTAAAGTCTGGGTAGAGACTCATGGGAGTGGGTGGTAAGATCCCTAAATTTGACATCTAGGAATTCCTTAGTGCTTCGATTCACCCACCATGACCTTGGTGGATATAATAAATAACTTCTCTGGGCCTTGATTTTGACATCTGTAAAACAGGGTGAAAACTGTGTGCCTTTCCTGACCTTGCTGAGCAGCTACGCTATGATTAGACAACTGACATTTATCAAGCACCTTCTCTGGATGGGTGGGGATCTACTCCAAGGTTGTCTGACCTGGGACCAGTACTCGCTGACCCCATGCCTGTTGGGAGGGACCAGGTGCCTTTCTGTGCTGGAAGGATTGGCTACTTTCTTCTGGTCAGCCCAGTTCAGCAAGCTCCTCTGATTCTCCCATGTACCCTGACCTCTGTGGGATGATGCTGTGGTTCCCAGTATGGAGGAGGAAGAGTGAGACATTGACACTTCCTGCTCTGAGGAAAAGGGAGGAGGGAACCCGAAGGGGTGGAAGGATTGCCTGTGGGGGCTTTTAAATTGTTTTTGTTTTATTTTATTTTTTATTGGAGAACAGTGCGTTTTTTCAGAACCCATCAGCTCCAAGTCAAGTAGTTGTTTCAATCTAGCTGTGGAGGGTGCAGCTCAGCGGCACATGCGGGGATCAACCCAGCAACCTTGGTGTTATGAGCACTGTGCTCTAACCAACTTAGCTAACTGGCTGCCCCTAAACTGGGTTTTGAAGGATGAGTAGGAGTTCACCAATGACACCAGGTTGGGAGGAGCATTCCATCCTAGCAAATGTCACCCCCATCCCACATCCCTCAAGTCGGTTCTCAAATTTTCACATTAGCTGATCCCATGGTTGTGTAAGTTGGGGTGGGGGGCAGTATTTTTTCCGTTGAACATCATTTTCAGTGCTGAGGAGACAGAAGTGTCCAGAACAAGGAGTCCAGATTGCAGGCTGGTCCACTGAGGTATGACAGTCCGCCTACCCAAGGCTCAGGGAGCTGACTACAAGTAATAGCCTTGGTGTATTAGTCAGCTACTGTTCAGTATCAAACCACCCCAACCATTTTATTTTTTCATGATTTTGTGGGTTGGTAAACCTGGGCCGGGTTCATCTGGGTGGTTCTTTTTTTTTTTTTTAAAGATTTTATTGGGGAATTGGGGGGAGGGTAACAGCGTTGGGGAATCGGGGAAGGGGAACAGGCAGGTAGACAAATTGCTGTTTTGTTCTTCAGTCTAGTTGTGGAGGACGTCGCTTCACTGGCCCATGTTGGTATGATCATTGTGCTCTTCCCTGGTGAGGCAATCGGTCGCCGGTCTTTGGTCGGCCGCTCACAGCAGCTCCCGGTAGCTCACACCGGCTACTAGCCACTCACGCTGGCTGCCAGCCACTCACGTAGCTCACAGCAGCCCACTGCAGCCCCACTGCAGCCTACGCCGTCGCCGGCGACTCACGGCAGCCCAGCTCCAGGTCGAGCTGTTGTTCATCTTAGCTGTAGAGGGCGAGCGTCACTGGCCCTNGCCGGCGACTCACGGCAGCCCAGCTCCAGGTCGAGCTGTTGTTCATCTTAGCTGTAGAGGGCGAGCGTCACTGGCCCTCAATGTGGGATCTGAACTGTGGCCCTGCTGTTCAGAGCTGGTGCTCCCAAGCGAGCTCTTAACCAGCTGAGCCACTCGGCCGGCCCTGGGTGGTTCTTCTGCTGGTCTTTCCGGGGGTCATTCATGTAGTTGCAGTCAGTTGGGGCTCGACTGGGGCTAGCTGGGCTAGGACAACCTAACTCCTATGTACTGTGTGTCAGTGGGGCCTCTTTATGCATGACGTCTGTCATCCTCCAGTAGCTCACCTGGACTTGTCCACCTGGCAATCTCAGGGTCCCAAGAGTGGAAGCTGCAAGGTCTCTTAAAGCCAACTCCCACAACTTCACTTCCACCACATCCTATTGGTCAGAGCAAGTCACATAGCCAAGTCCAAATGCAAAAGCAAAATAGACTCCAGTTCTTGTCTAGAGGAACAACAAAGTCCAGTCACGTAAAGGGACCAGAGGAGTTGGGCCATCTTTGCAAAAAGTCTATCACACTTGGGGAGATAAGGAGGCTTCATGGAAGAAGGAATATTGTTACTGGGTTTTGAAGGCTATGTAAGAGTTTTCCAGACAGCATGAGCAAAGCCCTGTAGATGGGACCATGTGTTGTTTGGTTAAAGTGGGGTGTTAGCTGCGGTGAGGGGAAAGGGTTGGTGGGATGCTAAGGCTAGGGAGGTGGGCAGAGTTGCTTGGAAGAGCTCGGGTAAAGCCCCCATCCATGCTATCCTCCGCTGCCAACCTTGACCTCCCCTTCCCCTTTCTCCACAGATGGCACGGCCAATCCAGGTGAAGCCTGCGGACAGCGAAAGCCGCGGAGGTAGTTGTCATCTCTCCTGGCCACCAGGCTGGGGGTTGGTTGAGAAATGGGAGAGGGAGATCCCTGCACAAAAGGCTGCAGCAGTCACCTGCCTGCTCACACTTTATGGGGCAAAGACAGGAGAGCAGGGGGGGCTGTGTCCCTTCTTCCCAACCACAGTCACAGGCCAGTTCCAGCTGCTCTCCCCTGGAGTTTGAAATACACTACTCCTTTCCGGGTGTGGTAATGGGGAACTACAGACACAGAGGGGATGGGGTCCCTGAAGGACTGTGGATTGATTTCTGGTGTGTGTGTTTGTATGTGTGTGTGTGTACACGTTTGCACATCTGGACAAGTGTATATGTGTGTGTATGTGAGCATGCATACTTGGGCATGTCTGTGTGTAGATGTGTACAAGTATGTGCATGTTTATGCATGTTTCTGCGGCTGATGTGATGGAGGTGCATGCACAGCTGCATGCCTGGCCTGTGCACAGGCATGTATGTTCCAGCATGAGTGCTTGACTGTAACGGGCTGGGCATGTGGGCATGCAGGCTTGGGGCCTGCTGTCTGAGTGGGGTTGGACTGTGTGGTTGGAGGTGTGCCCTTGGGGGAATGCTTGGCTCTCCCCAGTGGGACACAAGGATAGTCATTCCTGGTGATTTTCATCCCCCTCCCCATCTCAGGTAGATTGGAGACCGAGGGAGAGCCGCCAGCCTTTGGGGTAGTGGTAGGGGGGCAGGGCTGTTAGGACCCCTGTGTATGTGTAAGAGCCGGGTAAAGCCCATCTGGGTTGGGAGCCTGTTTTCACACTGTGTAACCTGGCTACCAGAGTGGGTCAAGGATTAGAGAGATGTGGTCTACATCTCTCTATCTCTTTAGCCTCTCTCTCTCCCTTTCCCTCCATGTCTGTTTCTCCTTATCTTTGTCTCTCTTTCTGTCTCTCTGGTTCTCTCTCTGCTCCTCTATGTGTCTCTCTTTGCCTCTCTCTCTCTCTCTCTTTCATACACACACACACACACACACACACACACACACACACACACATAATCTGTCTCTCTCTCCCTAACTCTGTCTCTCTGCTTCTGTGTCTCTCCCTCCCTCCCACCCCCATGAGTGACAGCTGCCAGAGAAAGGGTCTCCATAGTAACCCAGCTCACCTTTGGGGACAGGAAGCATCCATGTTCCTGGGGGAGCAGTGCAATTACCCAAGAGAGCAGGGCTCTGGTGCCTCACATGGGAGAGACTGGCCCACTGACCCCTAGCCTTAGACTTGGGCAGATCCGGGTAAGGCATGCAGCCAGGCACCCATCTCAACCCTACCAGATGGGGACTGCAGGCTCCGCAGGCACCTGGTCCTGTACACACACACACACACCCGCAACAGACGTTGATTGCCTGGCCCCTCCTGAGCCCTGGTGAGGTTAGGCAGAGTGCTCTGCTGGTCACCATGAGGATGCAGAGAGCATCAGCACTCACTCCTCCCTGGAAAATCTAGATGACAGACAGATAGACCGCAGGGACCCAGGTCAGACAAGGCAGTTCCTAACCCTGGTACTATGTGTGGGCTCTCAGAGGCCACCTTTGCCCAGAGTGTCAGAGCAGCAGAGCAGAGGCCCCTAAGGATTGAAGGGAGGGCATTCCAGAAGGGAGGAGGGGCACTGCGTGAGCAAAAGCATGGAGATGGGACGGTGCAGGGACGTGAGAGGGTGGAGAGACCTAGGGCAGGGGTAGGACGTGGCTGTTGACCTCCCTCGCCGCCGGCAGGGCCTAGCCGAGAAATTCCTGGAGACCTGGAGGCAGGAACTCGGCTGAGGTGATGTCTCCGCCCACAGGGGACCGGAAGCTGTTTGTAGGGATGCTGAACAAGCAGCAGTCGGAGGAGGACGTGCTGCGACTGTTCCAGCCCTTCGGGGTCATCGACGAGTGCACGGTGCTCCGGGGACCTGATGGCAGCAGCAAAGGTGACAGGCCAGGGTCCAGGCTGGCTCCGGGGGTGGGGCTGGGTGCGTGAGAGTCAGGGACTAGGATCGCAGGGAACAGGGCAGGGCCCAAGGGGAACGGGGTGGGTCCCAGCGCGGGGCCTAGGACACTGGGGTCGGGGAACGGCGTCCGAGAGGGCGGGGCTGGTGGGCGGGGCCAGCTCCTATGGCAGGGTAGGCAGAGACTGTATATAGTCCCACCTGTTCCTATCTATGTGCCCATGTTCATCTGGGGATGCCTGTTTCCACCTGACTCTGTCCATGGGACTGTTTCCGCCTGGATTTGCCTGTGTCCTGTGGACTTTCTGCCTGACCCTACCTACTCCACCGTTCCTATATGGCTGTACCTTCTAGGAATGATTGTTTAATGACCTCCAAAGACTTGTTTTCCTGTCTGCCCATGTGACTGAATGTGTCTAGGGTTGAGTATCACTCCTCCTGCATCTCTTAGTCTCTGACTCTTTCTACCTGGGTGTCCAAATGACTATTTCTGTCTGGGTCTTCATGTGTCAGGTGGTCTGTGGCTGGCTGTCCACCTGATTCTGCCTTTGTGACTGGCTGGCTGGGTATGCCCTTGTCTGGTGACTTTATCCCCATTTCTCCAACTCTGGTCACATGGGCATACCGATCTGGGTCTGAGTGTGTCTCTGCCTGATTGTGTCACAGGACTGTATCTCTCTGTCTGTGTCTGATGGTCTGTCACTTTAATTCTGCACATCTGATTACAACTCTGGATCTTGTGTTGGTGGCTGGTGGGTGTTCTCTAAGCCCGTCTCCTGCACTTGAATGTGTGTTTGACAAACAGCTGTCTCGATGGCTGGCTTTCTGACTGAATGGATGGCCAGTTTGCTGACTGTCCACCTCTTAATGCTTGGCTGGCTGGCTGTGTGCTTCTCTTACTGTCTGATCGTCATTGTCCAGCTCTCTGCCTGGGCAAATGGCTGCTGTCTCTGTTGTCCGACTGTCTAACTTCCTGGCTGCCTGTGTCTGATGCTGACTGGCCATCCAGCACCCTCAGCCCCCTCTCCAGTGGCCCCTGCCTGACCAGAGATAACCCATTGCCTCTCATCTGTTCTCCTTTTCTTGGAGCAGGCTGTGCCTTTGTGAAGTTCTCCTCCCACACGGAGGCTCAGGCGGCCATCCACGCCCTGCATGGCAGCCAGACCATGCCGGTGAGTAGGAACTGCTCTGGGCCATGGTGGTAGGCATGGGGTGAGGGGGCCTGTCCCTACCATCCCAGCCATCCGGTAGACCCTGACTCTTCTTCAGAGAGGGCACAGGTGGAGGAAGAGGGGCAATCCGGGATGGTGGTGTGAGTGGGTGTAGGCATGTGTGTGATTGTGCATGTGTGTGTGTATGTGTGAGTGTACAAGGATGTACTGCCAGTGTGTGTTTCCATGTGTGTGAGTGTGTCTGAGACAGCGTGTGGGTGGGTATGTATGCCTCTGTGAGTGTGTGATGATTAGTAGGTGAGGGTTATGTGAGTGCTCATGTGTACATGAGGCGTGTATGTGAATATGTATGGCTAAGTGGGTGTGTGCTGGTGCATATGTATACAAGTACATGTCTGTGTGATTGTATTAGTATGCCTGGGTGATGTGGGGAACAGGTGCACACATGCCTCTGTAGGTGTGTGTGAGAGTAAGTGTGAGTATGTGTAGGTGAGGTTATGTGATTATGTGTGCATAGTGACTATATATGCTTATGTATGTATGTGTGTGATTTTGTGCATGAGAGTGTGTGAATGCATGTGTGAGCATGTATGGTGTGTATGTGTGTGAGTGTATGTGAAAGTATGTATGTTTGTGCGTGAGTGTACACGAGGGTGTCCCAGGAGGGGTGACCTGAGGGTGGGTGGAATTTGCTGAGGCCAGTAGGGGACATGAGGGTGCGGGGAGTGACAAGATCAAAGGTGGGGTGGGAATGGGCAGCTCCAGAGGCGCAGGGGAGGATAGGGTGGAGGGGCCTGCAGTTTAAGGCTGAGGTGCACGGATTCCTCCTAGGGTGATGGAGAGCCACAGAGGGTTTCGACAGGGGAAGGAAGGGGACAGGTGGGTTGGAAATGTCCCTTTGGGGCCAGAGTGGGGGATAGGCAGGGGCAAGACTGGAGCCAGGAGCCACTGGGTCAGAAGCAGTGTTAGGCTGGGGAGCACCACCCAGGCATTGGAGGTGGCCCTCCCCCACAGAAAGGAGATTCCAGGAGCCACTATCCCTGTATGTAAATGTTCAAATCTGCATGGGAAAGATGAACAACTCTTCCCTCAGTTGTTCTTGAAAATGGGTGTGAAGCGCAGGGCAGGATTCAGCTCATCACCAGGTCAGGCTTCCTCCTGCTTAGGCTGTCCAGTGATGGGGCTGGCAGGCGTAGCAGGGAGTAAGCTCTCCATCAAAGGGGGCATGTCAGCCTCTGATGGTTGGAATCTTACCTGTTCTCAGGTGCAAGGTGCCATTCACAGGGTTATCCATCTGTGCCGCACTGATCCTCTCTGGTGGTTGGATTCTCACCTGTTCTCAGGTGTGGGTAACAGGTATAGGGTCCTCCACCCAGGGCTGCCATTGTTCTTCTCCAGCAGTTGGATTCTCCTCCTGTTTTTGAGAGTGTGGCTGACAGTCAGGGTACTCCACTGTACCCCAGACACACCTCCCTGGGCCTGGATGCCCCACCTGTGTACAGGGGTAGTAGCTACATGGTCAAGTGCAAGACCCAAGACTGATCTCCACAGCTATCTTGCTGTGGCACCTGAGGTCTGTAGCTGGGGATCGTGGACATCTGCTGCCATCTACACCCCTTACCCAAGGGCCTGAGTTGGTGTATTCTGGAGACCCCAGAGTCCTGGCTACCTCCCTCCTTTTTTATCCCTTTCTGTTTGCGGCTGCCCCTGCAGGGCGCCTCCTCCAGCCTGGTGGTCAAGTTTGCCGACACTGACAAGGAGCGAACACTACGACGCATGCAGCAGATGGTGGGCCAGCTGGGCATCCTGACGCCGTCCCTCACCCTGCCCTTCAGCCCCTACAGCGCCTATGCCCAGGCTGTGAGTGACCCCAGCAGACAGGCTTCTGTCTCCAGTGGGACTCTGAAGACCACTCTCAGGGTCCAGCTGAGTTTCTGTTTCCATCTAGTCTCTGTTGAGGGGTTTTGCCTCTCTGTCCATCTTTCTGTCTCTTGCCCAGTCTCCCTGACTCAGTGTCCTATCCTGGCCGTGGCTGAGCCCCCAAATCCAGGCTGATTTCTGAGCCCCAACCCTGGCTGAGCCTCCAACCATACACTGAGCCCCAAGTTCAAGTTGAACCCCAACTATGGACTGACATGACCCCATGCTCAGCCCCCAAATCTAGGCTGAGCCTCACCCCTGAACTGAGACCAAACCCAGGCTGAGCCTCTTAAATCCAGGATGATTCTAAACTGAGTCCCAACCCAGGCCGAGTTCAATGTTAGCTGATCCTGATCCCAGACCAAGACCAAATTCTTGACTGAGCCCTGATCCCTGGATGAACTCTGATTCCTAAATGAGCCCTGAACCTAGACTGAGCCCTAATCTCAGGCTGAGCCCTGATACTAACTAGACTGATCTCAAGGCTGAGCCCTTATTCCTCACTGAGCCTTGATTTCATACTAAGCCCTGATCCCAACGCTGAGCCCTGATCCTATACTAAGCCTTGATCCTAGGCTGAACCCCAGTTCCTGAATGAGCCCTGACCCTGGTGTGAGCCAAAATATCCCCTAGTTACTGGAGGACCAGGCCCACCCCCACCACCGTGAGCTATGATATCAGGGTAGGTGCCACCCTGACTGTGCATGCTGACTCCCTCTCCACTTCCAGCTCATGCAGCAGCAGACAACGGTCCTGTCCACCTCGGGCAGCTACCTGAGCCCTGGCGTGGCCTTCTCACCCTGCCACATCCAGCAGATCGGCGCTGTTAGCCTTAATGGGCTGCCTGCCACGCCCATCACCCCTGCCTCTGGTGAGAGTCTTCCAGGGATCCAAGGATGGGTGGGCAGGGCTGGGGCCAGGCCCAGCCTCCCCATGACACTGTTCCGTTCTGCAGGACTGCACTCACCCCCACTGCTCAGCACTGCCGCTGTGCCCAGCCTCGTGGCTCCCATCACCAATGGCTTCACAGGTGTTGTGCCCTTCCCTGGTGGGCACCCTGCCCTAGAGACTGTATATGCCAATGGCATCGTGCCCTACCCAGGTAACTCAGGTTGTACCCTGGGGCCTAGCAGAGGGGCAGGAGACAGGGACAGTGTCTCTTGGAAAAGCATGATTTCCTATGCCTTGGTGCCCAGAGAACAGAGGGGCAGAACAAAGGAAGTCAGTCTCAGCTGAACAGATGTGAGCTGTGGGCACAGAGAAAGAGGTTAAACATATGAACTTTGCATCCAGTGTTCTGGGTTCATATTTAGGTTTGGTAGCTCATTTGGGAAATGGGGCAGATAACATCGGCCATCTCATGAGGTTGCATTGACAATGAAATCAGTATGTGAAATGCTTAACACATCACCTAGTACCAAGAATGGCACCATCAATCTTAATTATTAATCATTACCATTTGGGAAGATATCAGTACCCATATTCATTCATTCATTCATTCATTCATTCATTCACTCAATACTGACCATGCATTGATTTGGGCTGGGCCTTACCCTCATGAGGCAGAGGTTCCACCTTTCCCTACCCTGTACCATGATTCAAAGCAAACATCGTCCAACCCCTTGCTGAGGTAAAGTAAGTTATCTGCGTTTACATCATTGAGGAGAATTTGTTTTTATTTTGAAATGATTGGAGGCTCACAGGGAGTAGCCAAAATAATACAGAGAAGTCCTGTGTGCCCCTCACCCAGCTCCCCCTGATGCTGACATCTTATATAAGCATAGGACATTGGCAAAACCAGGAAGCTGACATTGGTACCATAAAGTGAACTCAACTGGAGTAGGAGAGCTTATTCAGAATGCACCGGTTTTTACATGCACTTGGGTGTGTGTGTTTGTGTGTGTGGTTCTGTGTCATCTTATCACAGGTATAGATTCATGTAACCACCACCACAATCAAGATACAGAACTGTTCCAGCCCTACAAAGTAATTCATTCATGCGACCCATTTACAGTCATATCCCCCACCCCATTCCATCATCTAGCAACCTCTCTCCATTCGAGCAGAATCTTCCCTAGACTCACCAGCTCTGGTGGCCTGGACAACCTCTCCCCTCCCCTGTTTTCTCCACTAGCTGCAGTTGGAAGGTCACAGCCACATGGGGAGCTCCATAGGGTGTCTGATGAATGAGGTTTGAGGAGCAAGAGAGGGGAAGGGATGGGGGTGGGTAGTTGTCTGGAGCAGAAGCCTGGAGTCCTGAGAATCTAGAGAATAAAGAAAAGGAACAAGGGGCCAGGATGAGGAGACAGAAATGGGGGTGATGTTTCAACCTCTCTGGAGCCCAAGAAATGTGGATTCCAGTTTGGCTTCTGCCATTTCCTATCTGAGTGGCCCTGTGTCAGTTACTTCACCTCTCTGAGCCTCAGTTTCTCCACCTGTAAAATGGGGGTTCATACCTGTAAAACATTTATGCAGAGGTGAAGCTGGGGCAGTTGTTTGTTGCTCTCCTTCTGGCTCTAAAGGATGGGGAGGGTGGATGGAAGGCTTCTGCTGCCCCCGCCCCACTCAGCCCCTCCGTCTGCCTGCAGCTCAGAGCCCGACCATGGCCGAGACCCTCCATCCTGCCTTCTCGGGAGTCCAACAGTACACAGGTAGGGAGACATCCCGGCCCTGCCCACGCGTGACCCCGCCCCTAACGAAGCCCGCCCCCGGGGCTTGGCCCCTCAGCCCGTCTTCGCCCAGCTACGCCCCCTCCCCGCCCTGCTTTAGCGTTCTGGTCCCGCTCCCCAGAGCCCACCTTTAGTCCTGCCCCTCACATCTTTCACCGCCTCTGCCAAAACCTCGCCCCATCTCTGGCTGTTCTTCCAAAGGCCTGTCTTGGCCATTCCTTCAGCTCATGGCCCCGCCCCTCAAGTCCTGGCCCCGCCCCACTCTTTGTTGCCTTGGCCCCACCCTTAGGTCCTTTCCTCGCGGTGGCTACGCCCCTCCTCTTTCCCATCACCCGGGTTTGGCCCCGCCCTCATATTTGGCCCCTTCCCCGAATCAGTTCTGCCCCCTATGTCTTAGCCCCGCCCCACCCACTTCGGCGCCCACCGACCTCACGCCCACCTCCACTCCCGGTCTCTGCAGCCATGTACCCCACCGCGGCCATCACGCCCATCGCGCACAGCGTCCCCCAGCCGCCGCCCCTCCTGCAGCAGCAGCAGCGAGAAGGTGAGGGCGCTGTGACCTCCCCTGGGCGCCAGCCCCGCCCTCTGACCGCCCCCTCCACCTCCAGGACCCAGGCTTGGCCGAGCCTCTGGGATCCGCGAGGCTGACAGTAGCCAGGGGCAGGAAAGACCTGGGTTCGAGCCCTGACGCAGCCCATGGGTGTTTGGGAGGGTCAACTGAATCTCTCTCAGCCTGTTTCCTCCTCCGGAAAGTGGGACCCCTTAGGCATAGAGATGTCCTCTCCAAAACTGGATGATTCTCTGAATTTTTGGAGAGGAAATTCATTTTGAGGCTGGGGTGGGGTGATGAGGTATTTCGGGTAAACTGAGGCCTTCCCAGTAGAATCGAGGGAGGGAGGAGTTAGATTCTGGAGTGGGAAAGCCAGAATTCGGATCCACCCAGTCCTGACTTGTGACATAAGAAAGGCACATCACTACCCCGTGTCTCAGTTTCTTCATCTGTAATATGGGCGACCATCTGTGCCAAGAGGCATTAGTGGAAAATAAGAAGTGGTGGTTCCTGACACATAGTGGGCCCTCAGCACCAGAGAGACCCCTCCTCTCTTTAATCCAGCTAGTGGGGGTGGCGATGGGGGACTGGGGGGAGGTGACCAATCAGAATAGCCCCAGATCACCCATGGCAAGGGAATCTCGGAGCCTGGCCCGCAGACATGTAAAAAAAATAAATAAATAAAAACCCAAATAGGACCCTAATAAAAAACGGTAGCACAGTTTTATGAATGTAGATGAATAAGAAATACATGGATACTATTGTATAGTAAATATGGCACTTAATGGAGGAAGAGACCTGAAATTTGCATGTGTAAGTGTCGGAAGGGTTGCAACATGTGAGTTATTGTGAAATAGTGGAAAGAGTGTTGTCTGAAATCAAAGTGTGGCTTGTAACACACTTGGGGAACTGAAGAAGTTGGTAGGTGTTTGAGCCATGTGCACCCATGTGCCTTTTGTTTTCTTATGAGGCTTGGTTCAGCTGGGTGAGGTTTTCTGCATTCACCTAGTGTTTCTTGGAGACAAGATAGCTCACAAGCCAACATAATATTTGTTATGTTCAAAATTGTTCTGTAACGTATCAATCACCTTGAAACACACTTGCATTTTTAAAACAGGCATTATAGCCGAACTGTGGCCCTAATCAGGAAGGTAAGGGGTGGGTGTGATTGTGTGATCTTGGATTTTGTATTTTCTGAGGTGGGGAATATTCATTGCAAGGGTGGGGGAATTCTTGGTGGTTTGATGATTACCTTTGTTTTGGGGTGTGTAAGAGAGGTTTGGGAACTGTTCATGGCTTCAGATCATCAAGGTTTGTTGGGGTTTTTTTTTGGATAAATTATGAAATTTATTTATATTTTGCCTTTTAAAAGCCAGAACGTAACAAATGTCACTTTCTGAAAAGACATCTTATTAGAAATACATGAAGTGCACATCAAGGTTTTTAAATGGTATTATTTATAGTTTGTATATGAGCCATGCACTGGCGATTATATGGAAAGGGGTTGATTTCGAGGGTTAGCCGTGCTATTTTAAAAAAATATTTCTGGTTGGTGTAGTCTACCATTTAAAAATTATCTGTGGTTTCAGGATATCTGGGGTTTGGGACTGGAGAATTCTCTTTGTATTTTACTTGATTTTATTTTTGCATTATCTGAGTTTTGAAAATTATCTAAAATTAGGAGGATTATCCAAGGTTTATGGAAAATGTATCTGGATACTTGGGGTTTGGGACCAGAGAATTAATTACTTGTCTTATTTTATTCTGTGATCATCAGGTTTAAAAAGAAAAAAAGAGAACATTTTATTTTAGAATCAGTTTTAGACTTGCAGAATTATTATAAAGATAGATCGGAATTTCTGTATACCTCACACCCCAGTTCACCTGACTTGTAAATGATCTGGAGTTTGAGGCTTAGGGATTTTTCCTCCAGGAGTTTGGGGTTGCCTGGGATTTATCTCAGTTTTGGGGAAGGGGTATGGATCATCTGAATTTTGTAAATTATCTGGGGCCCGAGGATCATGAGAAGTTTGGAGTACCTGCGTGTGGGATTATGTAGGTCAGGAGTCAGTGTTCCCTGCCTTCCCTGCCCCCCATTCTCACATCCCTTCATTTTGGGTGTCATGGGGCACCCCTCTCCCGAGGCTCCGACCCATGCCCCTCCCACAGGGGGGTTCGCCTCCTCTCCTTGGGGGCTTTACGTCTTTCTCTCCCCCACCTGCAGGTCCCGAAGGCTGTAACCTGTTTATCTACCACCTCCCCCAGGAGTTTGGAGACACGGAGCTGACGCAGATGTTCCTGCCCTTCGGCAATATCATCTCCTCCAAGGTGTTTATGGATCGGGCCACCAACCAGAGCAAATGTTTTGGTGAGTACCTGTTGTGGGCAACCCTTCCTGCTTGCAGCCCATCCCACTCCCCTCACCCTGGAATGGGGAGTGTGGGAGAGGGTGGTCAGCCATGAGACAGGCCTAGTCCAAAAGAGTCATACTTTTTTTTAAAAAAAGAATCACATTCATAATCAAAGTGAGTACTTATTAAATACCTACTGTATGCCAGGCGCTTGCCATGCATCTTTTCTAAGGTTCATTCATTCATTCAGCAAATAGATATATTGTGCCCCTGCTGTGTGCCAGGCATCGTGCTGGGCACTGGGCACAGAGCCGTGAAGGAAGCCGACAAACCCCTGCCCTCAGAAAGCTCACAGTCTTGCTGCATTGTCCAACAGAACTTTCTCTGTTGATGGAAATGTGCATCAGGGCTCTCTGAGCCATCAGCTCCATATGGCTACCAAGTATTTGAAATGTGGCCAGTGTGACCGAAGGACTGAATTTTAAATTTTATTTAATTAAATGAATTTAAATTTAAATAACCAACATAGCCAGTGACTACCAAATTGGAAAGCACAGGTTTAGGGGGAGGAGATGGAAATAAATATAGAATATAGGTCAGGGACTTTTAAATGGTATGAAGAAAAATAGACCTGACGGATAAGGAGCCAGCATGGGGAAATCTGGAAGAAGAGTGTTCTAGGCAGAGGGAACAGCAGGTGCAAAGTCCTTGGGGCTGGACAGTGCATATTGTAGGAACAGCGAGGAGGCCCGTGTGGGGGGAGCAGAGTGAGTGAGGGGGAGAGAGAGAGGTGGTGACAACAGGGAGGGGACGGCAGCAGTTGTGCAGGGCATTGTGGACCTTGGAGAGGACTTTCTTGTCCCAGAAACAGCAAATTAGGGCTCAGAGAGGCACTGCCACTTGTTCAAAGTCACACAACAGCAAAGAGGCAGAATCTAGATTACAACCAGTCTGTTTGACTCCAAAATCTGGACTGTTAACCCCACACTGTACTCTGAAGGGCCTACTATTGACTAATAATATTAAGTGGCTCCAGCATGTACTCAGTATCCAACCATAAAAGGGAAGAATTGTCCCAGTTAACTGAGGGAGGAAAGAGAGGCATGGAATGAATGGTCAAGTGACACTTGAGGTCACACAGCAAGTAATGGACACCCACCAGTGCCCAGGCCTCCTCTTCTGTATCCTGCTCTCAGGAGGAAGAGGAAATTTCTGAAGGAAAACCTACTCAATCACTTTCAACAATCAGGGGGTCACATGGCTTCTCTGAGCCTCAGTTTGCTTATCTATATAATGGGGGCAGAGAATTATTGGAGAGAACAGATATAAAGACATCAAGCCCCCAGCTCTAAATTCCCCCATGGCTCTCCATGGCCTCAGCAAGACCCCTCAAACCCTGACCCCTCATCTTTCTGCCTGACCTCCCACCTGGCCTCTCACACAGAGCTCAGAGGTCCCCACCTCCAAATGCTTGCATATGTGGTCCTTTCCCCCTGGCCCCTGTGGCCCCTACACGGTCCCCTGGGAATCTTGTGAGGCCCAAGAAGTGAGGAGCAGGAGCAGGGTCAGGTGTCCTTGAAGTGGCAGGTGAAAGAAGTTTGTGCTGGTAGCAGTTTAAGGAAGGGAGGCTTAAGTGTTTCTGATGGTCTCGGGGGAGACTGGGGGTAGAGAGACTAAAATAGACAGAGAGAGAGGAGAGAGAAAGGGACGGAGGGGGAAAAGTCAGAGAAAGAGACAAAGACCACACACACACACACACACACACACACACACACACACACACACACAGAGTCAGATGGACAGATAATACTCAGATAGATAGAGGTCTCAGAGGAGGCAAAGGGTTGGCATCAAGGCCCAGAAGGAGGCAGGCATCCTGGTGGAAGGGAGGGAGAACGTGGCCCTCCCAGGACCCCCAGAGGTCCCACCTGCCCCTCATTCTGGATGGGAAGTCTTAGCACAGCAGAACCCAGGTAAGGAGTGAGTGCCCCATCCCCAGAGGCATGAGAGTCCGGGGTTGTCAGAACCAGGCCAGGATTGCTGTGTGTCCTCTGGCAAGCCCTGCCACCTCCCCCAGCCCATTAGCCCTTGCAAGCGCACACACCCACCCCCAGGACCCTGTGAGCCAGGAAGCCAGGGCTGCAGCACTGGAGTGAGCTGAGGACGCCCATGATGCCCACCATCGCGGGTCCATCCCGTTCTCCGCAGGCTTCGTGAGCTTTGACAACCCAGCCAGCGCGCAGACCGCCATCCAGGCCATGAATGGCTTTCAGATCGGCATGAAGAGGCTGAAGGTGCAGCTGAAACGGCCCAGGGACCCGGGACACCCCTACTGACTGCCCACAGCCGCCCAGGCTGCGGGCTTGGCCCAGGTGAGCCGCCAGGCGGCCCCGCCCATCCCAACCCTGCCCTCCCCATCTTGTCCGCACCCCTCCCTGTTCTCCAAACCCTCCCCAGGCTGGGGGGTGCTGAAAGAGGCTATAGGAGCCCCCAGGTTGGATTGGTGGGGGAAGCTAAATGAAGACACCCTAATTCCTGCCGTGGATGGGAGGGTGGGATTGGGGTGGGGAGGTGCAGGAAGCCAGTGCTCACCAAGGGTGGTTAGTGATCCTTCCTGGAGGAGGCTTTGAAAGATGAATACAAGTTTGCCGGGTTTGGTCTGGGGTGGGGTGTATTGTGGGGAGGGCTTTTGTCCTGTCCTATGACTCTCCCAGCTGGGCCCCTCTCATAGCTCCTTATTTGGTATAATTCATACCCAGTGGGTTGATAGGAAAGTGTGACTTTGCCCCTCCCACTGGCATGCCAGGAAAAAAATGTCCCCCCAAACAAATTCCCAAGAGTGTATTTTGCCATCAGAGTGAACAACTTTATCAACAAATAATCACCTTCTCTGAGGAATGAACAGTGAGCCTAAGGGGCCAATGAGGAAACTACTGACCTCAAGCCTCCGTGAGCTTCATCTGTGAAATGGGCTCATAAAAGTCACCTCCCCCAGAGGCAGCAGGGAGGACTCACACAGGGAATATGGTATTTTCCCAGCTGAGCCCAAGACCTACCACCTGGAAAGCTCTCAATAATTCCTTTTGGGTTTTTTTTCTATCTTAATCACCAGTGCCGCCGTCATCAGAGAGCCTCGCCTGGGGCCTGGTGCAAAGTAGGTGCTCAGTTGGGGGCTGGTGATACTTTTCAGACCCTGTCAGGTCAGCACCCACAGATCTGAGGGTGTGCAGTCAGAGTCCTACATCTTGGAGCACGCATTTGGAAGTCCACCACCTGAAAGCCAACTCACAGGCAATCCACACAGTTTTAACACGCTGAGACAGCACATCCTTCCTGAGCACCTACTATGCGCTAGGCACTGTTTCCAGCACTTGGGGATCCAGCTGCGAATGAACAGAAATGGGGTGGATGGGGGGCTGTGGAGGGGGAGAAACTGCTATCCTGGGGCTTCAGTGGCAGGCAGCAGGGGAGAGGAGACACAAACAGGAATATTTGACCCCAATCACCAGATGAGGACACAGGCTTTGTGACCCTAAATCCGTTCCAAGCCAGGTTTGTCAGCCTCCAAACCCCCAAGTGGATTATTTCTGAAAAGATTAGGGGCTTTGGGGTCCCAGACCCCAGCCTGGCCAGGGCAATGGGGCGGGTGGAAGGTGAAGTCATCTGCCTATGTGCCTCCCTTTGGCGCACCCTAACGCCCCTCCCTTCTCCGCCAGGTGAGGGGCCTTCCCACCCCAGGAGGGTTTCCCGCTTCCAACCGACCCAGGACTTTTCCGTAAATTACAACCAAGTTTGGACACCAGCCCTCCCTCTCCTCTCCTGTCTCCCCTTGGCCCCTTCCCCCAAATGTGAACTGCTACCGAAGGGGTGAGGGGTGGGGGAGCTCCTAAGTTGGGGGCCAAGGGGTTCACTGCCACCTCCTGGGAGATTTCCTTGCTCCCCCCACACACACAACCTTGGTGGCTTCTCCAAACTAAATCACAACTTTTCCTATATATATATATATGCATATATATATAGAGCTATAGACAGTATATATATTTTTTGAGTATAGATCATGGGACCAAACTTTTCCGACTTCCTTCCATCCAAGAGAAGGTGACCCTGGGCGGGTCACTCAGCAGGGACATAAGAAGGGCTGAGGCTGGCCGGGCAGCCCGGTGTCTCCCCCGCTCCTGGCTGTCATGTCAGACCAGGGTGCCGGAGAAACACTGGGAGTCATCAGCCAACCAATATACCTCCAGGACTTTGGCCGTCGATTCTCATGGGCCTGTGGGCTCAGCCGGCTTGAGTGTCCCTGCTCCTAGCTGCAGCTTCCAGAACCCCCCAACCCCAACCCCCTCCCTGTCCCAGGGCCTTGCCTTCCCAGGCACAGAAGAGATACCCTGGCCTCCCCTAGCCTTTCCCCGCCCAAGTCATAGCCTTACTCATGTGACCAATAGCCCTTAGCTTTCCGTCTGGGGCAGACAGGGTGGGGGAGCCCCCACCCCTTGCACCCCCTCCCAAGGGCAGGCAGCCAAACCTCCCTGCCTTCGGATCACCAGCCTGGAATTCACGATCTCATGACCAAGATCGCCACGCTCGTTGGACAAGCCCAACCTGCACTGGCCAAGCACCCCTTTGCCGAAGATACCTCTTCAAAGAATTTTTTTTTTAATGTTGGTCTTTCTGAGCAGGTACAAGAAGAAAAGAGAAAAAAATAGGGGAAAAAAATCAAACGAGAATGGATTTTTGTTTCCTAGCTGGGGCGGGGAGGGAGACCTTGTGGGGTGTCTGTGTATAGCTACCCAAACCGTGAAAACCCACCTTGAAGCACAGAGTCAAGTTTGTTTGGACGTCCACTGGGGCCTCTCGCCAAATGAGGCACCAAAGAACTTAATAAGCTAAAAGAAAAAAAAATTTTTAAGAGAAAAAAAAACAGCATTCCCTTTTGTTTCTACCAAAATGTGTTGACCGACCCAGAAAAAAAAAAAGAAGAAAAAAAACACTCATAGCAAAAAAAAAAAAAAAAAAAAAAAAAAAAAAAAAAAAAAAAAGAAAAGCAAAAAAATTCTTCTGACCAACTTGTTTCAATAATTGTTCTGAGACACTCTCTAGTGTGCCTGTGTCCCATGCGTCTGCGTGTGCAAGCGTGTGCTCAGGGGCCAAGAGGGGGCCTCGTCTGTGTCCCCAGCACCCGCCAAGCTCTGGCCAGGTGGGGCGTGCAGTGGCGTGTGTCCTTTTGGTCCATTGGTCCATGTTTACTGGCTGTAAATACCATTTTTATACTCCACATTGAAGATCTACGTGATTTGTACAATGTACTTTATTTCTGCTACAAGTAATTTCATGAAGTTTCAACTTGCAAACCAACTTTTGGAAACAAACCGCCACACAACACACATACACACACACACACACACACACACACACACACACACAAAAGAAAGACAAGAAAAGGACTTAGAAGAAACTTTGGGTTTACTTGGTTTGAATTTCGTGGCTGGAGAGGGCCTTGTCACTGTGGCATGTTTCAGGTGAGAAGCTGCAAGCATCATCTTTATGTCCAAAATGCCTCTCTTTGGTCTGGAGAAACTGAAAGTTTATTTAATAAAAGTTTTACTTGCTAAAGTACTGAGTCCTCCCTCATTTGCCCTCTCACATACATAAAGACCAAGATCTCTGGCCCCACTGAGTGTGTGGGCTAGAGAAAAATCCCAATTTGGAGTTAGGGGATGTTCCGAGAAGGCAGGCCTGGTGGTCCCATAGCCAAGATTTTGTCTGACTCATCCAGAATTTGAAGAACTGGAGTGTTCTTTCTGAGGAAGAGCAGATGCCTATGCTCTTGATTCCCACATTCATTCATTCAGCCAGCAAACATTTCTGGAACACCTACCACACACCTGCTCCTTTGCTGGCCACAGACACAGCAGTGACCAGATGGTCTCTGCCCTCACAGAGGCAGCCCAGGAGAGGAGACACTATACACATTTTTTTTAAAAAATTGAGGCAAAATTCACAAAACATAAAATTCATTCTTTTTACCATTTTAAAGCATACAATTGTCATTAAGTACATTCACAAGATTGTGCAGCCATCACCTGTAATTCTAAATCATTCCATCACCCCAAAAGCAACTTCATCCCCTTTAGCAGTCACTCTCCATCCCCCTCCCCAGTCCCTGGCAACCACCAACTTCCTGTCTCTGGATGTGCCTGTTGTGGACATTTCACATAAATAGAATGGCACACTGTGTGGCCTTGTGTGTCTGGCTTCTCTCACTGAGCACCGTATGTTCAAGGTCTATCCACAACGTAGCAAGTTCAGTGCTTAGCGCCTCTTCATGGCTGAGTAATATTCCAGAGTGTGGATGGACCACATAAATGTGTATCCATTTATCCATTAATGGATATTTGGGTTGTCGTTACCTTTGGGCCATTGTGAATAGTGCCACCATAAATATTCATATACAAGTTTTTGTTTGAACACCTATTTCAGTTCTCTCAGGTCTATACCTAGGAGCAGAATTGCTGGGTCATATAATAATTCTATGTTTAGTTCTTTGAGGAACCACCCAACTGTTTTCCATGACAATTGCCCCATTTTACATTCCCATCAGCCATGCACAAGTGTTCCAGTTTCTCCACATCCTCACCAGCACTGTTACACAATAGATTTTGAGTTGGAATGTTGAGGGAGAAAGTCCCCAACAGGACCTGATGCAGCTGAGGACCCAGAAGTGCCCAAAGGAGGTGAGGCCTGAAGAAGGTGAGACCAGAGACATGAAGTGGATTTGGTTCCTGCCCCACTCCATTGGAGGCCTCAAAGTTCCCCCTCCCCGCAAAAAAGTCCTGAGACCTGGGGTGGGGGACACTGGGCTCCAGGGAAGGGACTGGGGTGGGGGTGTGAATAGTGGAGATGACCACACCCAAGATGAGCCGCACCACTAGATTTAATGCGCTACTTAATATCCTGCCAGATGGTTTGCAGAACCATGCTTTATCGGTAATTCACCCCATTTTATGGTTAAGGAAACAGGCCCTGAAATGAAATGCCTTGCTCCAGCGCCCACACAAAGAGGCCCAGCTGGGGTACAAGCTGGAAAGATGAGTCTGAGTCTGCCTGGAAGGGTTTTCTGGGTGGAAGGAATGACCTAGGCAAAGGCTCAGAGTCTTGAGATGGTGTGGTGGTTGGATAGTTGGCTGACTGTCCAACAAAAAAACAGATGCAGAGATAAGGGCTGAATTATAGAGGTCCTTTCATGATGAAGCACCTACTATGTGCCAGACTTTGTCCCTGCCCTCCTGAGGCTTCAGTCAAGGAGAAAGGTGGACCAAAAAAACTACCCATTTCTGGAAGAGAAAGTAATTCTAGAGCATGCTAAAAGTTGTGACCACAATGAGATTAACAAATCTGGGACATTATTTTAGGGCAGTGGGGAGCCACAGAAGGGCCTTGAGCAGGGGAGAAGCATGATCAGATTGGGAAGTTAGAAGGATACCTGGGGTGACCTTCATTTTGGTGAGGTATAAATGCACACTTTGGAGGATAATTTGGCAGGATAATGTTCCCACGAAGCACTTATTAAGCACTTACTATTTGCCAAGCATTGTTTCAAGCCTATGTCATCCAATACAGTAGCCACTAGCTACATGTGGCTATTTAAATTTAAATCATTATAAAATCACATCCTCAGTCACACTAAGCCCCATTTTAAGGCTCAGTAGCCATATGCCCATCACTGCAAAAAGTACTACCAGGCAGCACTGATCTATCCTGAAACCACCCTGTGAGTATGTTCTATTAATAGCCTGACTTTATGAGTTAGTAAACTAGGGCCCAGAGAGGTTAAGTGACCTGCTTGAGTTTACACAGCAGGAGTTGAACCCAGGTTCTCAGGCTGGTGTCTTAACCGCTGCACCATCCCGTTTCCCTGTGTTGTGTAGTGGCTGAAATTCAAATGTTAGGTTGTAATTCAAGTTATTATTTGTAATAGTCCAATTTAAGCTTTTACATTTAACTCAAAATTGTTAAATATTTAGAACATGTATCCTTACAATACAGCAGTCCTACTTTTGAGTATCTCCATATAGTGAACAGGGGTGTGCTTGGGAGAGCTGAGCCCTAGCTGTAGGTGTAGGTGTTCATCCAGGGTGTATCAGTTAGCTATTGCTGCATAACACGTTAACTCCTCCCCAATTTTAGCAGATTAAAACAGTACACATTATGTCACACAGTTTCTGTGGGCCAGGAATCCAGGAGTGACACAGCTGGGTGATTCTGGCTTGGGGTCTCTCATGAGGTCTCAGTCAGGACATCAGCTGGGGCTGCCTCGTCTGAAATCTGGATTGGGGTTCCAGATAGTTCCCTCACATTGCTGTTGGTGAGAGGCCTCAGTTCCTCTCCATGTAGACCTCTTGAACCCTGCCTTTTGTGACTTGTCTCCAGGTCACACCCTATCACCTCTGCCTGATTATATTTGTTAGAAATGAGTCACGGGCCGACCGAGTGGCGTGTTGGTTGGGAGTTGGCTTGGGACGCCAGCTCTGAGAAGAAGGGCCCCGGTTCGGATCCCACATATGAGGGCCAGTGACACTGCCCTCTACAGCTAAGATGGTGCACAACAGCTCAACCCGGAGCTGGGCTGCCGTGAGTTGCCAGCGATGGTGTAGGCTGCAGCCCCTGTTGCAGTGGGCTGCCATAAGCTACCGTGTGTGGCTGGCAGCCAGCGTGAGCAGCTGGCAGCCAGTGTGAGCTGCGAAGAGCCGCCGTGAGCCGCTGTCCAGAGGCCGGCGACTGATCTGCCTCACCCAGGAAGAGCGCAATGATAATACCAACATGGGCCAGTGAAGCGACTCCTCCACAACTAGACTGAAGAACAAACGACAGCAACTTGTCTGTTCCCCTTCCCCCAATTCCCCAATCAAATCTTAAAAAAAAAAAAAAAGAAATGAGTCACAAAGTTTAGCCCACAGTCACAACAAGATTACACACAGGCATAAATACCAGGAAGTAGGACATTTGGGGCCACTGTGGAGGGTGGCCTCCATAGGGAGCATTTCCACTGTGGAATACCATGTGGCTGTTAGAAAATGAAACCACCTTCAGCTCACATTGTTAGATGAAAACAAGAAAGCTGCAGAATAATGCACACAGCAGGAAATAATCCATGGCGTGTGCATTGGTGGTTTTTAAAAATATATACATTATTGGGCCGGCCAAGTGGCTCAGTTGGTTAAGAGCACGAGCTCTGAACAACAGGACCGGTGGTTTGATTCCCACATGGGCCAGTGAGCTGTGCCTAAGCTGAGCTACAGCTGAACTGCCAACAGGTGGCAGGATGGCTCAGCTGGTGAGAACACGTGCTCCTAACAACAAGGTTGCCAGTTCGACTCCCACATGGGATGGTGGGCTACACCCACCCGCAACTAATATTGAACACAGCACCTTGAGATGAGCTGCCCTGAGCTGGGACGCAGCCAGATGGTTCAGTGGTTAGAGCCTGTGCTCTTAGCAACAAGGTTGCCAGTTCGACTCCCACATGGGATGGTGGGCTACGCCCACCCGCAACTAAGATTGAATATGGCACCTTGAGCTGAGTGGCCGTGAGCTGCCAACGGTTGGCCGGGTGATGACTGGACTTGGAGTTGAGCTAGCTGCGCCCTCCACAACTAAGATTGAAGGACAACTTGGCTGTTCCCCTTCCCCAATTCCCTAATAAAATCTTTAAAATACACACACACACACACACACACACACACACACACACACACATAGTCTCTCTGAGGCTATGTATATGATTATAAAGATAGGGAAGGACTAAAAGTATATTCTCCAGAATGATGAAGGGAGTGGCTTTGGGGAGTGAGGACCTGGGGGCCAGGATGAAGCAGAGTTGAGTCTTAGCTGCAATCTTTACAAGGTGAATATATTTAGGTATTATTTGGGACATTAAGAATTCAGTTTAAATACATTTAAAAAAGATGAATAAAAAAGATAAGTATAGGAGGTATTTTGGGGAAAGTACCTACATTTAACACAACTACCCCGCTGCCCTGTGGAGAGACTTGGTTGGCAAGGGCTAACAGCCAGCCAGGAATTGAGTCCTGCCAACAACCACACAAGCTTGGAAGTGGACCCTTCCCCAACTGGGCCTTCAGATGAGACCTCAGCCCAGCTGACACCTTGATTGCAGCCTGTGAGAAACCCTGAAGTAGAGAACCCAGCTAAGCACCCCCGATTCCTAACCCACAGACACTGAGATAATAAATGTTTTAAACCACCAAGTTTTTTTTGTTTGTTTGTTTTTTATTGGGGAATTTGGGGTATGAGAACAGCGCTGGGGAATTGGGGAAGGGGAACAGACAAGTTGCTGTCCTTTTGTTCTTCGGCCTAGTTGTGGAGGACATCGCTTCACTGGCCCAAGCTGGCACCATCATTGCGCTCTTCCCGGGCGAGGCAGATCAGTCGCCGGCCTCTGGACGGCCGATCACGGCGGCTGCTGGCCTCTCACACTGGCTGCCGGCTACACATGGTAGCCCATGGCAACCCACTGCAGCAGGGGACTGCAGCCTATGCCGTCGCCGGCGACCCACAGCAGCCCAGCTCCAGGTTGAGCTGTTGTTCACCAT